TTCTATAGCAGAATAATCTAAGAATATGAAATTATATGGTCTTCATATAAGAACGATTAAGTCATCAGTTTTTACGATATTATAGTTGTTATTATAGAATATTTTTTGAATTACAATATTAATTGTAAATTGCTCAAAAATGTAAATGTCATAAAAAAATCAAGGTTCATACGTGAATAATACTTTTACCTTTAAGTCTTATAATAACTCAAAACATTATTATATTAAAGCTAACAACATAAAATTGGTTCCGATGAACTCAAATTTATTATAAGTCGTACATTCGTCACTCGTACGTTTATAAAACGGATACAGATTGATTCATTTGATATATTTTTGGTTAAATTTTTTAACCTCGTAACTAGTTTAACTTAAATTTAATAAACCWATATCTGTACATTGAATTTAAAAAAAAAAAATAATATTCGTAACATTTTGGCCACAAATGAGAGCCTTTGTATTGTGTGTTTTGTCTTTTATTTGTGGTATTTAAAAAACACAGTATTGTAGTCACCATTCATGTATTTTTTAGTAATGGTCAATCACTTGGTGTAATATCCGAGGAGTTATTAAATGGAGATGACTTGACATATTTTCCTGCATTAACTCTTTCCGAAGAAGAAAATGTGGTTGTTAATTTGGGTGAAAGACCATTTAAATTTCCAGTGTTAAGAGCTAAACCTATAATCGATAGTCCGACAGTACTAATTAACTATTTCAGACGACTTGAGAAAAATATGATCGCTTTAATCGAAAGCCAAATCAGTCTAAATAAAATAAATGTGAGTTCTATACTTCCATATGATTAAAAATATTGTTTTAAAAACTCTAATGATTAGATATTTTTAGACGAAAAATAGTCTGAAACACTACGATAAAATAAAAATTAATAATGTAATAAAAAATATACTGTTTCGTCAATTTGAACACTTATTGAAGAACCAATTTATAGTAGAGAGCTGCTTCATATTATTCTTAAGTAGTTTGAACAAAAAAAATCCTCAAAAGCTAAAAGTTTTTCTTGAACTGATGTGGGAAATCGTACCTGTAAGTTGCTTATTTTTAATTTGGTATATTACGATGTATAAGAATTTAATATTTTGTTAATAATTATGCTTACACGTCATAATATTACGCATTTACACAAAATACAAATAATTGTATTATAGTTGATAATTTGTAAATTTGAAATATTTAATTGTCATTACTTCATTAGGTGTATACTGTATTAGTTTGTGAATTTGTGGTGTGTATAATATAACAAATTCTATAAAATATTAATGTGTTTATAAAATATTAATCTTCTAATAAAATGACGTGTTTATTAATTTATTTTAGTATATGGTTAAAGCCTTAAAGCCTAAAAGCTTAACTAATTAAAATGTACAGTAATCATAAAGTTTTCCCATTGCCTAGAAATATAAAATGGTTTCCATCATGAATTATTTAATATTTTGTCTGCTTTGTGAATTTAAATGTACGTGGAGGAATAAATTTGACGTATCACATCAAACAATGGTTCTCAAACTTTTAACTGCAATTTGTCAAGAAACCAACACTAGAAAAGAGGCAATTGTAAATATTTTTTTCGACAAGATTAAGTACGTACTTATTTTAAATTAAATAATATTATATTTTTTCACACTTCAAAAGTTGCGTGACTCTAAACAAAAACTAAATTAACCACCACATACTTAATTATTTTATAAAATATTGTGTTTCTCGTTTCTCTAATATAGGTAATATTATACAATGTTATGCATAAGTGTTTGTTAATTATTGTACAAAATAACCTTGGAAAATAGTTTAATTTTACATGAGTATATAATATATAATATAGTATTATATAACAGATTATATAAGTACATTGTATCGTCTTTGGTATTTGATTTAGGTATTAATTATAGTTAGCATATTGTGACTGATACTAATATCACCAGCTATTTAATTTATTTTTAGCACGATTTTAGATCTATCAACATCAAATACTGTTAATAAAGTGTAGAGAAATTTTTATTATTAAGATCAGTGTCATGGTTTTTTCCGTATTATTAACAATTTAAATACAAACATTTTTATTTTGAAACAAATAGACCATACTACGAAGAAATAAAAATATAATTAAATAAAACAACAAATATTTAAAACTCAAATTTCAATAATTCAATGTTAAGACCAATTCCACTAAATTCCACTACATCATAAGTGTTCTCATTGTAATCACCCAGAGTTGAAGAAAACATAACAAAATATCTGGTTTCTAGTGATTGCTAATGATTGCGAATAAATTGGATGCATATTATTTAAATTTGCAATTATTGTAATAATTCATGGGTTTACTCGAGTTATTAATAATGAACAATTAAAAAGTTAACTGCAGTACTACTTTAAGGATTCGTTTTCTTATTATAATATATTAAATAAACGATTAATACCAAACAATAAAATTACTAGTTATTACTTATTATGTAATACTGGTGTAGTAAATGTATAATTTCCATTATATTTATATTGTTATAAGGTAGCGAGACAATATTAATATTATAATGTAACAAAGATTGATCCAATTTTTTTTTTAAATCACAAATATTATTTGTGACCTTTTTTGTATTTTTATTAGATTATGCTAGTTAAAACTTTATAACCAATGTTAGATTTTATGCATTTATACACTAATAGATATATTTATAATTATAACGATCTCTGTTTATTTAAAATTATTCTCATAAAAGACGTACCTACCTACTAGTTGTACGCTACATTGCATGCATTTGAAAAATCTGGACAAAGGCTATTTATTATTATCGAGCAATGTCCATTTTATTAGAATACAATATAACTATACAATATTATAGGCATTAGATACAT